TTTTTTTTTTTGCAGTATACCCAGAGGAGTTTTTACCAACTTATCACTCTATCAAAGAAGGAGGAAACGTAATTAAAGCACAAGAGGTGAGTCAACAGACAATGAAGTAACATTAAACCCCTAACATAATATTATGAGCTTTACTGAAACTTAGTGGGTCGGACTGTGTGGTGAGAGAGGGGGAGGGAGAGGAGAGCAGGGCGTTACAGTGTTTGTTGACCTACGTTACAAGTTGAATAGGCAGGTCCAGGTCAGCGTTAACATTGTTTCTGCTGCGACTGTCTCCAAGCTGGACATTTACTTGTGATTATGTTCAACAAGTATGACATTATGGAGGAAGAGGAGTATGAGTTTCATCCTGTAGATTTACCCAGTGAGCCTTGTTTTTCCCCTCAGGTAGAGTTTAATGACAAACCAGACTCCCTGTTCTTCAATGATGGTGTTAGGAGGATTGACTTTGTCCTGGCGTATGAAGATGAGGACAAAAAGGAATATGAGAAGAGGCATGTGTTCCAGAGACGCAAGGTAAGCTTGTTTTTCTTTTAACCTTATTGAGCATTTTAGTAAAACGCACCATGCCATTAAATCCAAAGGTACTGGGTGTACTGCAAACGGTGCGAAGTGGAGTAAATAGTGCATAGCAGAGAGATGACATTATAGTAATAAAAAGCTTAATTTGCATAGTTCTTTGTAAAACACGGTGGTTTCTGGTATGTATGTGGGAGCCTGGATATACGGGTCTTTATATCCCATTAATAAAATGATAAAATCCGTTTTAAATTTCACTGGAAGCTGGTGAAGGGAAGCAAGAATAGAGGTGACGTGTGAGTGCGGGCAAGCCTAGCTGTTATGTCAGTGTGATTACTGACCTTCAAGAAGCTGTCCGGGTGAAAAAGAATTGCAATGGAGGACATTTAAAGATATCCAACTGTTAATGGTAATGTTAAGGATGTCATCGTCAACATAGTAACATATGAGATGCCTTTAAAGCTCTTAAGTAGATGGCCAGGAGAGGAGCAGATAGTTGGAGAGTTGGACCAAAGCGCTTCTAGTGAGAATATTTAGCTATTAATGATTTTTAGCTATCAGAATATAATGAAAACCATTTAAGAAAAGTGATGCCAACCTAGTTCAACAACCTGTCATATAAGACCGGTGTGATCAGTGGTGTTAAAGGCTCGGGGACTGCAAACAGCCGGCTATGCCAGCATTCAGAATCCATGGAGAGTAGTTATGATGTTAGCTTTAGAGTGTTAGTATTGACATTTGATCTCTGAGCGTCTAATTCTTTTCACCAGTGACTCTCTGGTTCGATTCCCAATGGGTTTTATCTGAATGCCTTCATTTTAACTTTAAGATCTGACTGCATTTTATTTGTCCTAATGAGTTATATAACAACATTCTTTTAATAGAATAATCTAACATCATAACGTATACACAGAGTGCATGCAGGCATGAATGTATATAGCCAAAATTTTCCTCAGTGTTTAATGTATTACTCATACAAATGGCAGAGTCTGTTTCTTATTTGTAAATGGAGTTTTTGTTTGCACTTGGATTAGTCTGTCAGTCTGTGGCTTCACATTATTCCCCTCTGTCTGTAAATATTAATTATCCAGGATATGAAGCATTAGATTCTGACTGTGAGGTGCTCCTGGCTATATTCCTTGAGAGAGCTAATGAAGAGCATCATTTTTTCAATTAGATGCTCAAAGTTCATCATCAGAACAGATCTGTTTGGCCATGAGTAATTTTTAATTTATGTTTTTAGATTTTGTGGTGCAAAAATGTTAAACTGCCACAAAACAAAGTCAGTTGGTTTGTAACTGAGGAAAGGAAAAATAGAAAGAAAGAAGACCAACTCTTCCTGGTCTGGTTTCTGTTATTAGTATTAGACTGAAGGATGAACTGGCATATCCAGGCTTGTTTGTCCTCTTTCACAACAGGTTTACAGTCAGGTTTGTATATAATATAATGCTTGGAAATGAATATGCTGTTGTTAGAAAAGAAGTGCCACATGTTTTCCACTTGATTGAGATGAGAGCTGTGAATAAATACAGGCAGTGGGTGTAGACAGCTGCAACCCAGCTCCAAGTCCGTAAAAGCCGATCAGCCAGTTTTACTGAGTTCCTTGGAAAAGATTTGCCTATAAAGTTACTGGAAGTATCACAGTCCTGGGCTTTGAACTCAGTTTGCGGACTAGAGATTTCCTCTCTATTCGTTAATGTTACGTTTGTTTCTTAGTTTGACTGTTTATTCTTGATTGACTCGTTCCTGAATATCTTGAGTTCTGTGTTTCCGTTAATGCTGATTTCAGTTACTATTCTGCTTTAGGTTGTTTGGTTTGGTCTCGAGGGTTTTTTTTAGCCTTTCCCTTCTGTGTCAGGTTCAGATGTCAGGGTCATTGTCTCTGTGTTTAGTTGCTTCCTCTTTCCTTTTGATAGTCTTGTCACTTGCACTTTATGTTTAGTTCTACTTCCCTTGTTTCCACTTGCTACATTACTCCTTGCATTTATTGTCTCCCTTTAACATTTGTCTAGTCATCCCTTTAGCTCTGTAGCAGCTTACTGGGAGCTTTCCTGTTTGGAATCTGTAGCATATCTTGATATCTTCCCTATTTTGATCCCTTGTTTAGCACATGACAGGAAATGAAATTTCCTAAGTCTGTTAGAACTGAGGAAACATTATATTCATAAGAAATCCAGCAAGAGGAGAGTCTCTAAAAGTCACTCGATTAACTTTGTTGTTCCAGAGCATAACTTCGGTCAAACACAGGTTGCTTAACCTTATTCTGCTCTGACTGCTGGGAAGGCGTGGTTCTTTCACATGTTGTTGGTTAAATGGAATTATTATGATTGTCTATATACATCGCATGCAATTGTGGTATTTCCTGTTTCTCAATGAGTAATCTTTCTGCTAACAAAGTTAGCAATAATAAAGACTGAAGCTATTTTTTAGCTTTGCTTTGTTAACAGTTCCTTGAAAGTGTCCACGAGGTGCTGAATGTGACAATTTAGCGATCTCAAATTATTCACCAAATGAATACACCGAAGACAGAGCGCAGTTCCTGCACCAGGAGAGCAACATGATGCAGTATTACAGTATTATATCGAGTTTTTAGTACATCTTTTTGAATAATAAATACATAAATCAGTCAACTAAAGGGGCCATGAAAGTATCTGCTGTATCCAGCGATTAATTTGCATTTGTTATTTATTTTTTTATTGTCTTATTCTTTAGAGACGGCGAGAATACTTTGAGGCCAGCCTGATGAAGATGGGCATGGAGTTGGAGGCTACACAATCTGTAAGTGGATGTCCTTGCCTGGAAGTTATTGTTTCTGTCCCCGTATCTCTTACTTTAACTGAATTCTCTCTTTGTTTGCAGGTTTTAGATGAAAAACTCGTGTTTTTGAAAGTTCACATGCCATGGGATGTGCTGTGCACCTATGCCGAGGTCCTGCATATCAAGCTTCCCATACAGCCCAACGACATGCCGGCCCGCCCCTCCCCGTTGCGCTTTTTCTCCTGCATCACCAAGCACTTCTATCCCGATGAGAAACTGATCAGTAAGGAGTCCGAGTTCTTCACCGCCCCCTTTGAGAAGGATCGACAAGATCTCTTCTGTATCAAGGACAAAGATCTCTTCTTCACTCCATCGATGAGGAGCAGGATGGTAGGTGGTTCCATGTAGCTGCCATAAGTTCAGGCTGCCTGCAACTCTCCCTACACATAAATATGTCAATGGATTTATGGATTTCATGTTAAAATCACTAAAGTCAGGGTTCACAGACAACCTTAAAATGCCTTAATTTTAAAGGAACTATATTTGAAATAATAATCATCTTAAAACTTAACTTAACTTTTTCCATGAATTTCTGGTTTAAGTCTTATGTACAACATATTGCGTATACTTTCACAAATCACACATTAAAATAGTGGAGAAAAAGTTAGCAGGACTGGAAAATACAAGTTTGGACCAAGAACAAAAACTTTTATGCTCCTAGGTGAATGATTTAGTAATGGTTTGCTGTCATAACAATTTATTTTGAAGTGGTATGTAAGGAAACAGGTGGAAGAGACTCTGGAGAGGTGGAGGTATGCACCGCACCGGATACAAGGGATCAGTAGAGCCAAGACTGAATGCATGTGCGACTGAGAAAGAGACGGGTGGAAATGTTAAAGTTTAAAGAGTGCAGATATTAAATGTACATGAATTTAAATACCTGGGTTCAAGCATCCAAGGCAACAGGCAGTGCACAAGGCAAGTGAAGAAGAGTGTCAGGGGTGATTTGTGATAGAAGCACAGCAGCAAGAGTGAAAAGGAAGATTTACAAGATGATATGATGTATGGTTTGAAGACTATGGCACTTCCAAAAATACAGGAGGTGGAGCTGGAGGTAACAGAGTTAAAGATGTTCAGATTTTCATTGGAGTGACCAGAATGGTCAGGATTAGAAATGAGTATGTCAAATAGACAACAGTTTGAACAGTTTGGAGACAAAACTAGAGAGGAAGGTGGTTTCTGCATTTGGAGGGATAGTGGACACATTGTTCAAAGTTGAAGATGGAGCTGGGAAGCAGGAGGAAAAGAGCAAGACCATAGAGAAGAAGGACATGCAGAGGGTTTGTGTGACAGAGGAGGATGTTGGAGTAGAGGTGGAGGAAGGTGATCTGCTCTGGTTAAACTGAATTTATATTGCACCAAATCACAACAGCAGTTGCCTCAGGGAACTTTATATTGTAAGGTAAAGACCCTACAATAATACAGAGAAACCCCAACAATCAGATGACCTCCTTTGAGCAAGCACTTGACGACAGTGGGAATGAAAAACTCCCTTTTAACAGGAAGAAACCTCCAGGCTCAAGCAGGAGGAGTCATCTGCTGGTTGGGGGTTAGAGGAGGGAAAAAAGACAAAAGACACACACTGTGGAAGAGAGCCAGAGATATACAATAACTAATGATTAAATGCAAAGAGGTCAGAGACGCAGGGTGCTCTGTCGAATCCAGTTTTTTCCCCCAACTGCAGTATGGAAAGAACTGCATGCAATTGGACAATTTCCTCATTAGTTTTTTTTTCCCAAAGTGATGATTCCAAACCTAGAACACTTGAGACACTCATTTAAATAAAATAACAAATATCCGTTGTTAGAAATTATATAATTATCTTATAGTTTTTTATTTGATTTGAAAAAGTCAAGAGCTCCTTTTAGATTGACAGAGATGGTTTTGTCTATGAAGAAAAAAATCAATGTATTATAAAATAGTAGAATGATAACTTTTTGACTCTTTCTCTTTTCTTAGGCGTATTACATCCTGAGCCGAGCCCCCTATGACATACGAAGCAACATAAAGAAGTTTGGCATCACCAAACTGCTGGACAGTGGAGTTTACAAAGCGGCCTATCCCATCCACGATGTAAGCCACAATATTTTCTGCTTTATTTTGCATACTGCGTATTGTCTTGTTTAGCAAAGCTGTACTATGTTATGTTAATGGCTTCACTGCTCGTCATGTCAGTGTCGGTTCAATGTCAAGTCCCAAGAACCAGAGTGTCCCAATGAAAGATACCTGCTCTATGAAGAATGGGCTCATCCCAAAAGCTTCTACAAGATCCAACCGCTGGACCTCATACGGTAAATCTTTTTTCTGTGCATAAAAAATTGTCTTCTCTGTTTGTTCAAGAAAAATTAGTAGTAATTATTAATAACTCTAATTATTTTTATTGACAGGAACTACTACGGGGAGAAGATTGGCATCTACTTTGCCTGGTTGGGTTTCTACACGAGAATGCTCACTTGGGCTGCTGTTGTTGGGATCGGCTGTTTCATCTACGGGTACTATACCCGGGACACCAGCACCTGGAGGTACTACAAACAATTTATTTCTGTTTAATTATTCTAAATATTTTTTTTTTTAAAAGCTCTTTAATGGTCTGTCTTGTGTCTTTGAAATGCTGCAGCAAAGAAGTGTGCGACCCTGATATTGGGGGGAAAATAGTCATGTGTCCACAGTGTGACACGTGCCAATACTGGACATTAAACAGCACCTGTAACACTTCGAAAGTGAGTTCTGTTTTATTGTATTTGAATGCATCTTTTCCTGTCTTTAATGTTGCTCAGTATACTTTGCAGCACAGCGCTCACCTCACAGTAGGTAGCACTATTGCCAGATTTGCATAGTGAAATGTGTGGCTGCTGTTTTACTTTGTGACACAGCTGCAGCTGCCATTGAAATTTTATCTCTTTCTCTCTTTTTTTAGAATCTTTGCATATTTGATAACTTTGGAACGTTAGTGTTTGCAGTTTTCATGTCAGTCTGGGGTAAGTTTGATACAGTTTCTACCAGATTTTATCTTCTGTTATTATCTTTGCTTTTGCATCATCTTTGGTATTATCAATAGAACACCCTATTTATATTGCGCTTCCTTCTCTTATAACTGCCTGGCTTGTTGTTTCCTGTGTTTGTTTCGCTTTGTGCAGTGACTTTGTTCCTAGAGTTCTGGAAGCGCTACCAGGCAGAGCTGGAGTACGAGTGGGACACTGTGGAGTTCCTGGAACAGGAAGAGCCACCTCGCCCAGAATATGAAGCCAAATGTATCTATGAGAGGAAAAACCCCATCACAGGGGTAAATCCCACATACTTTTTCTCCAGCTAATCTCAGCTTGAGTTTTGATTTTCTCCATTTACAATGCATCAGTGAGTTTCACCTCTTCAAATATTGTTGCTGAGGTTCATAATTTCATTTTATTTATGTCTGCTATTTAGGTGAAGGAAAAGGTGCCATACACAGCCTGTGGACGATGTGTCCGTGTGTCGATAGGAATGACAACAGTCATTTTCTGGGTGAGTCATGAATTAAATGTCTTTTTTGTGTCTACTTTTTTTTTTTTTTTTTACAAAGAAGAAGAAATACACAACAGGAATAGTGAGAACAATATATAAACTCCTTTTAAGGTATACCCTTCTTTTAATTTTATTATTTTACATAACAGCGTGGAAAGAAAAACGTCTAATCCTTAGGAGGCCTTAAAATGATTATTATTTATTTAACAGAAAGTAAGCCAAACAAAGAAACAGTATTTGAAAAACTATGTACAACCTTATTGTTTCTATAGGAATTAAGAGGTTAAATATATAGCCAAGTGCTGCTAGTCAAATGCACTATTAACTGCTCTTTAGCAAGTGAGAGCGCTACTATAAAAGTAAAAGCCAAAGAAAAGACAAAAGAGTATGGCTTGTTTGGGAAGGTTGCCTGGAGAAAGTATCTTCTTCCTAAGAAGAACATGGCAGCACAGCTTAGGTTTGCAAAGTTGTATCTGAACAAACCACATGATTTCTGTAACGATCCCTTTTGTAAAGATGAGACTACAGTGGAGCTGTTTGGCTATTATCCACAAGATAATTGTTTGGAGAAAACCAAACACAGCATCTCAACACAAACACCCCATACCAACTGTGAAGCATGGCGGTGGATGGGTGATGGTTTGGGCTTGTTTTGCAACCACAGGACCAAAGAATCAAGGTGTCACAATGTCCCAGACAAAGTCCGACCTCGACCTCATTGAAATGCGGTGGTGGGAGTTGAACAGAACTGTAAACAAGCAAATGTCCACATATCTCAATGAAATGAAGCAATGTTGTAAAGAAGAGCAGGCCAAAATTCTTCCACAGTGCTGTGAGACACTAATAAAGTCACAAAGAAAAAAATTAATTATTGTAGTGAAAGTTTGTTCTACAAGCCAATTAATTTTGTTCTGATATTCAATTCAATTCAATTTTATTTATATAGCGGCAAATCACAACAACAGTCGCCTCAAGACGCTTTATATTGTACAGTAGATCGTACAATAATAGATTCAGAGAAAACCCAACAATCATATGACCCCCTATGACCAAGCACTTTGGCGACAGTGGGAAGGAAAAACTTTTAACAGGAAGAAACCTCCAGCAGAACCAGGCTCAGGGAGGGGCGGGGCCATCTGCTGCGACCGGTTGAGGTGAGAGAAGGAAAACAGGATAAAGACGTGCTGTGGAAGAGAGACAGAGGTTAATAACAGGTATGATTCAATGCAGAGAGGTCTATTAACACATAGTGAGTGAGAAAGGTGACTGGAAAAGAAAAACTCAATGCATCATGGGAATCCCCGGCAGCCTACGTCTATTGCAGCATAACTAAGGGAGGATTCTGGGTCACCTGCTCCAGCCCCAACTATATGCTTTAGCAAAAAGGAAAGTTTTAAGCCTAATATTAAAGGTAGAGATAGTGTCTGTCTCCCGAATCCAAACTAGAAGCTGCTTCCACAGAAGAGAGGCCTGAAAACTGAAGGCTCTGCCTCCCATTCTACTTTTAAATACTCTAGGAACAACAAGTAGGCCTGCAGTGTGAGAGCGAAGTGCTCTAATAGGGTGATATGGCACTACAAGGTCATTAAGATAAGATGGGGCCTGATTATTTAACACCTTGTATGTGAGGAGCAAGATTTTGAATTCAATTCTGGATTTAACAGGAAGCCAATGAAGGGAAGCCAAAACGGGAGAAATATGCTCTCTCTTTCTAGTCCCTGTCAGGACTCTTGCTGCAGCAAGATATGTACGGAACTATTTCACTTACTACTTCCTTTTTACAATAATTATATACTATTATTTATATAATATGGTTTCAGTTCACAAAAAAACAAATTTTGCTTAAAAATAAAATGTCCATTTTAACCAATGTAATATTGAGCAGGAAGTACTGATCTATAAAAGTAGTTAGGGTACATGGAACAGTTTCCTCTTTGACTCCACATGTTTTCAAGCATCCTGCTATTCCAGCTGTCTTTCTCCACATCTCTTGACTGTCAGAAAGAATTTGTAATAATTTTGTTTTGTTTATTTATTTATTTATTTATTTATTTATTTTACTGATTTTGTCCTTTAGATAATGTTGATCCTGGCATCTGTTGTGGCCATCACTGTATACCGCCTGGCTGTCTTCTTTACTTTTTCTCGTGAACTGAGGAATACAAACTTGACAATTGCTGAGCCAATAAAGGAGTATGTGACACCTCAGATGGCCACTTCTGTCACAGCATCACTGATTAGCTTTGTTGTAATCATGATCCTCAATATTCTATATGAGCGGGTCGCCATCTGGATCACAGACTTCGGTGAGTTAAACATCAAACTGTACTGTCTTTACTCAATGGAAAATAACCTAATCCAGTCTTTTCATATCCGACACAATAACAGAACTTCCACGAACCAAGACGGACTATGAGAACAGCTTGACGCTGAAGATGTTCCTCTTTCAATTTGTCAACTATTACTCCTCATGTTTCTACATCGCCTTTGCAAAGGGGAAAGCAGTTGGCCATCCAGGAAAGCCTGTTTATCTTTTGGGAAAATACAGAAATGAGGAGGTACTATTAGTCCATAAAGTGTTTACATAGCCAAGTAAATAGCTAGATATCCATGGCTGTCAATGTGTGTCTTTGATTTGCAGTGTGATCCGGGTGGTTGTTTGATTGAGCTGACGACTCAGCTGGCAATCATCATGGGTGGAAAAGCCATCTGGAACAACATCCAGGAGGTCTTGATACCGTAAGGACTCGGAATCTAGGACCTGTTTTTGTTGAGATGAGGTTGAACGCTAACTAGCCATCTTTTAAAAAGCTGTCCTTTTACTGTATACATGCATTTGCTTGAAAAGTGAATGGACCCACTTTTTCCTCAACAATTCTACGAACTTTTCAATTAAATCCAGTCCATTTGAGCTAATGTGGTCTATATGTCAACTACATTTTTATCTGTTACGTTACGTATTTTAAGCTTGAACTAAAAAGTCAACCATTTGGACAGCTGCCAAACCTCTAATGAACAGAAAATTGCTAATTGGCATGAGCATCTCTTTCAATTTAGACAAAGGGATGTCTCTTTTCAAAGGTCGTGACTTCACAGAAAGATTTAGCTCAATAAACACAATATGTCGCTTACAACAGTGTTCAAATCGACTAGATAAATAGGCAACGATACTTACTTACTGTTACTTTACGCCATTTCTTCCATCCTTTCAAGGTGGTTGAAGAATTTAATTTATCGCCACTGTGTCCATGTGACATCGGAGAAAGTGATTCCTCGCTGGGAGCAGGACTACCAGCTCCAACCCAGCTCAAAACTAGGACTGTTCTACGAATACCTTGAGATGGGTGAGATGGCAATACATTATTGGCACTTTGTCTGTTATATTTGCAGCTGCTGTTGTTGATAACAGAACCTGAATATACAGAATAATCGATTATTTTATTAATACCTGGTGCACTGGGAAAACTCTTGTTCCTTACAGCCATCCAATTTGGCTTTGTGACCCTGTTTGTGGCCTCCTTCCCTCTGGCTCCGGCCCTGGCTCTGCTCAACAATATAATAGAAATTCGGGTTGATGCTTGGAAAATCACCACTCAGTTTCGCCGTGATGTGCCAGAGAAGGCACAGCACATAGGAGCCTGGCAGCCCATTCTTCAAGGCATCACTATCCTGGCTGTGGTAACAAATGTAAGCTGATAATTACACCCAAACGCTAGTTTTTTAACTCATTTTACAGGCGATTACAATCTCAGCCCTTCAGTTTAGTTAACTACTATAACTGTACCACAGTTATTATCTGCAGCCCAAAATGACTATGTTTGTCAAAAATACAAGAAAATGTTGTGCAAAAAGAAAAGTCTCACATTTTAACTTTTACAACCAGTTTTCTGCTTTTTCTGCATTAACTTTGTGCCCTGATGTTTGTCTGTTTCAACAGGCCATGATCATTGCTTTCACGTCGGACATGATCCCACGGCTGGTCTACTACTGGTCTTTCTCAGTTTACCCCTACGGCAATAATACTGAAAACACCATGAAGGGCTACATCAACAGCTCGCTGTCGGTATTCAGTACCAACGATTTTCCCCCAGTTGATGATGAATATATCCACACGCCTCCCAACCTAACCACTTGCAGGTACAAAGACTGAATCATCATTTTCATTTAAAATTAGCTTCCACACTTTCTAGATAGTGCGAGGTGGACTGGAAGGACAAGGGCTTAAACCTTTTGTTTGTTAGTCCATTTGGACATAAGAACATCACACAGCAGATTTGATCAACTCCACTATGAAGGTGCATTATAGGATTTAGATCTGGTAACTGTGGAGGCCATTTGAGTACAGTGAATTTATTGTCATTTTTCGGCTTGAGATTGCTTGAGCTTTGTGATATGGTTAGTTATGATGAGTAAATAGCAAACAGTCCCTGCAAGTATGTGCAAGACAACCTGATTTAATCACAGTTATAAGATTTACTGAAAAGAAGTTTTATCTGTAGCCTTGAAAAATGCAAGGAGAATGACTAAGCTGAGGGAGGGAGTACAGACTAAGGACAAGAGAGGAATGCAGACCAAAGCTATTTTGGTATTAAGCATGGGGGCAGGGCTTGGTTTCAGCAGGGCAAAGACAGAGTCCAGATCAGAGTCGAGGAATGGACCGAGTAATGCTGGAGGTTGACGAGACAGGCTTTAGTAGCGTGTGAACACAAATGAGCTTCAAAACATTCCAGAAACGACTGAAAAACTGTTGAGCTCGAACCAAAGAGTGGAGAAGGATGAAGAGCAGCTGTGGCCTGACTTATACTCATATAATCAAGCACAGACAAATTATATTCTGCAGTCATAAAAAAAAGATTAAAGCTGAGAAATACAGAAACAAATGTATGGCAAATCAGTGCGGGTTTGAAGAAAACTACTGAAAACTTTTCTCTTACAGGTATCGAGATTATCGGTTTCCCCCCGGGCACCAAAGACAGTACGAATACAACATGTTCTACTGGCATGTGATTGCTGCCAAAATGGCTTTTATAATTGTTGTGGAGGTGAGTAGAAACTAAATAAACAGAAACCGATCACGTCAGAAAAGGATAATTTAAGAACATGCCAATGGAAGTGTTCACTTCTTTTTTTGTGTGTGTGTGTGTTCGCAGCACATTGTTTATTTTACCAAGTTCATCCTGGCCTACATAATCCCCGACGTCCCGTATGCTGTTAAAGAACAAATCAAACGGGAAAAATACCTGACCCAGGTGATCCTCCACGAGACCAACCTGAAGCTGGTGTCCAAACGTTTAAAGGCAACTGAAACTGAAACTGAAAGCTGAGCATTTACAAAAGAAGGACTTGGAGGTGGATGAAAATGGATGGGACACGAAAGCAGAACCTTTTAAGTGTGTCACAAGAAGAGTGTTCTTTTTCTCTGTATTCAATTCAGTTTTATTTATACAGCACCAAATCACAACAACAGTCACCTCAAGGGGCTTTATCTTGTAATGTAGACCCTACAATAATATTATGATTACCAAGTTAATAAAGCATGAACTGTCTGACAGGAAACACCATCCTTGAGGAACTGCAGGACGGCGAACGGAAAAACCAGAAAAACCACTGATGTGTAGTCTTCCCTAACCACTATTTTCTTGCCCTGGACTGCCTTGATGTGTTTGGTGGTGAAAACGCACTTTAAGAGTCTTGTTTTTCTGGTGAAATAAATTTAGCTGACCCTTTAAATATAAAGATAACAGCACAGGTGGAAAAGGCTGCAGCAGAATGCCGAATATGAACTTTTGGCTCAAGAAATGTGAATTGTAATCTTTTTTTTTTTTTAATTACAAAAAAACCACAAATCCGTCTTGATGTTAAAGACCAAAACACAAATACTAAAATCAAGAAAAATTTAACATTTAGCACATTGGTGATTTTTTTTTTTTTAATTTTAAATTAATTGCCCTGCTGTATGTTTTATGCATTGACTTTTGCAACCGGATTTATTCAAAAGCGGGGGAAAGGCAGGTAAGGACGTCAAATCAGTGCTTTCAACTGTGAATTGTTTAGTTTTTTTTTCCCTTCTTTCAGCTCTTTGACATATTTTTCTTGGCTGTTACAGAGATGACCTTTCAAGTCATACCAAAGGATACATTAATTTTAAGCATTTTTTTTAGTTATGCTATTCCTTTTGCTTGTTTTGGGTATATCAGACTAGAGCAGTTCTCACTTTAGCATCTCACTCTGTCCACCTTCCTCCACATGGGTGTGCACAGCTTTCGCACACATTTAATAATCACCAATATTGCAAAATGCAGATGTGCAGTGTTGGTATAATGCTTTTGTCACCTCTGTTAAAGAGCTCACAATGTTGCACGGCATAAATGTGCAGGAGATTGTCCCCTTTAAACTTTACATGTGTTTATTTTGTGAGGTGGGGGTTCTAGTAAGGAGAATAATCAACAAGTTTTGTATATAAAAAAATATGTTGAAGTGGGGAAAACATAATATATCCTATGAAAAAACTTTGGTGAATATAAGTCTTGTGTATGACCACTGCACTTCATTTTTTATTCTGAAATGATGGTTCAGGCCTTTTTATGTTATCCTGTGTCAGTCATGAAAGTACCTCTTTTAATCCACTTTGTCCTGAACGTAAGTATAATCACCAGTAACAGTATCATATATCAATATCTTTATTGTCTTGTTGTTTTATACTGTCATTAAATTGTTTTTTATATATATCTATAAAAAGCATATTTCGTGTCTTACGTCATACATTTCATTTAGCCCTCAACTCTGATACGAATACAAGTGTAGTGCTCACGTTAGTAAAATTAAACACGGCCATTATACTGAGATGAGGGGGGTGCACCTTTAAATCACAACAGAAAGGCAAAAATCAAAGTCTCAGCAAAAACTTCTCAGTGATACTTAGCAGAAGCAGCTACCTTAGAACGCCTCACAGCACTGTCTAAATTATCCTTAATTTTAATGGTCACCTGACCAAATAAACTCTAAAACCAGCAGGGATGTCAAACATAAGGCTGGGGGGCTTGACCTGGCCTGCAAAGACAATCCAGCCTACTAGACGGCTTTGGAAAATGTTAAGAATTTTTACTACTTTTTCATTTAAGTTTTACAGTTTTTCCTACTGATAAATAGCTCCCACGTGGCCATTGGTATTACACCAAAGTAAGTAACTGATAAACAAATGACAGAAAAGTTCCCTTTTTCACTACCTGCTATGGAAATTGTGTTAGCAATGGGTCCAGAGTTTTTTTTTTGGGGGGGGGGGGGTTTAAGAGAACTCTTATTTACAGCTTATTTATTTCTTGCTATTTAAATCGTGCTGACAGATTTCTTTCGGGTACTACAGCAGAATTTCTTCAACAAATAGTAAAACTGAAACATACTGTTGAAATTACACTATTTTTGTTATATAAATCTCAGGCGTTACATGTATAATTAAACTTCTTCAAAGTGGGATTACTTTGACATTCTGCTTTTGAGGGATTCCTATGGAAGCCCGTTTCCGCCACTAAAAAAAA